TGATGTCAAAAAAAGCTTTGTAAGTTGAAAACCACGTCGTTAAGGTAAAAACCACGGTTGACCAAGTCAACACCGTACACGGGTGGTTTTCACCAAAAGACAAAACCGAAAGGTGGTTTTCATGATGTTTTGATTGGAGAACCATTTAAATGCATCCAAAAACAATTCCCACACAAAAAGACTTGAAAACCACTTCATTTAAGTAAAAACCACGGCTAGCCAAGTTTATGCCGTTTCGCGTGGTTTTTATCAAACGACAAAAAACGAAAGGTGGTTTTTGAAGTGTTTTTGATGAAAAACTATTTAAATGTGCCCAGAAGTAAAAACCAGTCATAAAAAGTTGAAAACCACTTGGTTAGTTCGGACGCCGAAAACCGAATGCCGAACGCCGGTTTCTGAAACCCGAACGCCGGATGGCTTGATTTTTGGTTTGGGCGAACACCAAGTGTTTTTAATGTTTTAAACATGTTAGAAAAACATTTTTATGATGTGTGAAATGCAATGAAAAGAATTTTAGCCTAAAGAGCCAAGGTGTAAAGGTTGGGTCGGTCTTGATCACAATTATGACCGACTCAACAACACTAAGACAACGGTCTTCGTTCTTGGTCTTCTTTTGGGTCTTGTTCTCTTGCTTTCTTCTTATATTTATTTCTCGCCTTGTATATTCAATAACTTGTCTCGTTCACGGCGGTTTGGCATTATCAAAACCTGTCATAAAAACGAACACGGCTTTAGTACGAAAACACGATAAACCCGTGTTTCAACATTTTTTTCTTATTTCTCATAATTGAATAAACAAAAAAATATTATAAAAAGATGCAAATTAATTACTTATAATGAAACAAACAATCTACTAATAATAAAATTCATAAATAAAATAATTATTTATTGACTTTAAATAATCCATCATACACCAAAATTAAAATAATAAGTAAATCACAACAAATTTATTGATAGAGTACATTTAATTTATTCATAAAAATAAGGTTACAAAACACATGTCATAACTAATTGATTTTTTGAAGTTTATAAAACATAAACTTTGACATAATTGAATTCCATGATATAGCTATTGTTCATTGCGACATCGTCGTGGTCGGTAGTCCATGTTATTTGGATAGCGAGTTCTTGTAGGTCGGCCGGTGTTATGCGTGTCGTAGCACCTAAAAATTAATATATTATTTCCTTAAATTTTAACCCCCTTTATGATTCAATATTCATCAAAACATATAGATAAGGTAAGTAATGGTCGATCTCATGAGGAAAGATACTTTTAGGCTATGAAAATCAGTTCACACCTCACTTTTATTGACTAATAACTAGCTAAACTAACAACTAAAACTACACTAACAGATATGGGGGGTTTGAATGATAAGTCTAAAAAGATAAAAATGCAAATAAAATAAAGATAAGGGTAACAGATAAGAGATACGAGATGAAACCACAGCAGCAACCCGAACTCAGAAGTAAACTCAGGGAGAAAAATAAACACAAAATCAAACACATAAAACAATAACACCTTTAAACTTTATAAAACATAGACAATAATAATTAACTTAAAATTTTTTGAAAATACTTATAGTTTTTAATAGAAAATAAACTAAACAAATATGATTAATCAATTAATTATCTCTTAATCTTGAAACAAAACTGTTAATTAAACTCAGGGTTAAGCTGAAGAAGAGGTCCACCAACGGTTCTTCACTATTCTCCCTAATATAGCCTATGTTAAGACCTGCCCTAACTCTAGACTCTAATTTTCTTAACAACCCAAGGACCTGCCCCCAGATTTAATTAAAAATAGAGCATTAAGTTCTTTGGAAAACATCACTTAACAACTATGCAGTAGACTATATCTATTTAACATAGTGAGCTTGAAACTCTTATTAATAAAAATCGGGTAGGAGCCAATTAAGTATTAACCAGGTGACTATTACGTTTTGAAAATCTTAGCTATAAACGTTCTCAAGAGCTTAAAACTGTCAATTAAAATTAGAGTTTAGGCGGCCGTCCTAAATTGATCTAATCTAAGTTTAATCAAAACCGGTTTTCAAACATCTTGACAGTAGCGCAAAGGCTAAAACTTCAAACTCATATTATATAACAAGAAAAATCAAACCAAAGATTCAATTATTTTTGTCAAACAACCTGGCCTACGAAAGTTTCATAATTCTAGAGACAATAATCAATCAATAAATCAGATTTGAACAATTCAACATCAACACTCGAACAATTCAACACTTATAATATAACTTAAACATTCAACATAGAATTGGAATTGAAAATAAACATATTTAAATAATGGACATCAAATTCATCAATTGGAAATTAATAAACTTAAAATCCCTATTAAAATAAATAAATAAAAAACAAGCATGGAGTAAGGATTTAACATCTCTCCCACAAACATTTGACTTAATGTGGTGCAGATGTCGACCATAGACAACAACTTGAGGAACGTGTTGGAGGGCACCAAATTGTCTGCAAAAGCGATCTGGATAGTACATCTCCACTACATACACATAGATCAGGGGGATTTTTGAAATCCATATTCTAACTCTAGCTGAACAATAGGGCGGTAGGGTTTTGAGATTCGGATATGACATCCTAACAAAAAGCATACTTAAACAACTAATAAGATACACATTAAATTAAAACATATATGTATAACATTATGACATTATGAATATTCACCTCTCCCTCGAGTAATCTATCTAGCTCTTCCTTATATGCTCGTATGGAGTGTGTGGTACAATCTAACCATTGATGGTAACACACCCATCTACAAGTGAAGGATTATGCACAACCATGAATGAAACATACTACTCCCTCCGTCCACCTAAGATCTTCCCATTACGCGTTACGAGGCTTGACCGACTTTATTTTCAATTCAATTTATTTGATTATAGGAGTAAAATTTTAAATAAAATTTATATAGTAATAATCTATATGAAAAGTTCTACAAAACTAAAAGTGACAAGACCATATTATTTTACGAAATTACTAGTAAAAATGAGTAAAAAAGCGAGTAAAGTTTGACCCTGTGAATAGTGTCTGAGAAGATCTATGGTGGACAGAGGGAGTATATGATTTTATGATATACATACACAAACTGCAAATACCTAACTCCGTATGGGACATCTACCTGCTGATCCAATGGTATAACCCCTCTAGGTTTAGTCATAGGCAGGCGCTCCCAAGTCCAAGGCTGTAACAAGACAAGACAACCTCCAAATTGTGTTGCATTTGTCGCTCTAGCACGACACATACTATGGTACTAGAAATTAAACCGAGTACTACCGAACCAATAGCACGACCCCAATAATGTTTCCGTCACCCATGATTATATCTTAAAGATACAAACTAACCTTATTTCCCGTCGTGTTGGGAAATAGGCTACCACCCAACAACTTAAACATTAGCTCTAGCATGCTGTAAGTATTCTACATCTATATTATGATTTGTTAGTTGCTTAAGAACAATTACAGACATCTTAATCGTAGAAGACGTAATATTGATTGTATGAGGTCTAAATCCCATCATGTCCTCACATATCTGAATCCACTAATCCCTGGATCGGGCAATCCAAGCAAAACCTCTACATCTTGCAAAGTTATTCCCACCTTTCCAAAGGGAAGATGGAATGAATGGGTCTCGGGTCTCCCTCTCTCCACTAAAGAGGTGACCAAAGCCCAATCCAACTGCAATCCACCAACTTTCTCAACCCCATAAAATCTGTATTCTCGTAAAATCTCAACCACAGGGACCAGTCTATTAACAATAAGAGTCATCGTATATAAACTAGTACAAGTCCTATGACAATTTAATATAATTTTAGCATATTCTTCGTTCTCCCAAACCGCATCATACATATGCTCTCCGGGTTCAAGAACTAAAACATCTCATAGGTCCCGGATGTACATCCATTTGTTTCAAGGATTACAGCATAAGAATATATTCAATTAATAAAAATATAACAAAACAATTATAATAAAAAAATTCATGAAGTAAGCACTTCTACATACAATTTATGACTAAATAAATATCTTACAATATCAAATTTATAAAATTAAACTATATATTTGTCAATATTTTCACAAAATTATAAGTCTTGTGATAGAATTTAGGATGGGTATGGACAACTGGATTGGGTAATAAGACACTTGGGTTGAACCGCATTAAAAGATTGAATCCAATCGATTACTTAGTTCAACTCAATACCTTATATACCGATAACTTTTCTATTCAACTTCCGATGTGGGATAAACTCTAACATCTTGTATAGACCAACTACAACATCATTGAAAAAAATTTAACAAAAAAATACCTCTATGCACGAAAACGGAGTAGCCGACTCCGGCCACGTTTGGGGGTCAGCGTGTTCCTCTCCATCCTCATTGTTTAATTTTCTCTCCCTCCTGCGTTTCTCTCCTCCCTCTACGTTCTCTCTCCCTCCTCGTTCTTTTTTTTCGCCCAGTACTGTAAACGAGTGGATGGGAGAAGGTAGATCTGGTCTGATTTACGATTTGAAGAGGAACGGAGTAGCGTATTCTGTCTAAGAAATTAATTAACGCGGAACGGAGTAGCGTACTCCATTTCTATTATTATGTCTAAAATAAACGGAGTTGCTTATTACTCTGTGTGGCACTGACAAGAAACAAACTTATGACCAACCCTGACAGGAATGCATTTTTATTTTTTTACATATATTGATAGTTTCCTCCTATCAAATTACCAATATCAAGTCCCTAATAATAATAATAATAATAATAATAATAATAATAATAATAATGATAATAATAATAGTAATAATAATAATAAAAGAAGAATGAAAAAAGAAAAGTCCCTCCAAAGTAACTTTTTGGATATTTTAGGATATCTCGAAATATATATTTTTTTTAAAATAGGACGAAAGTTCTATCTACAAATTGGAGGTACCTAATAACAGTTTTAGGGAAGAAGATGAAAATATAACGGTGCAAGTGAATATGATGGAGAGTTGGGTAGAAATCCAAAGTTAATATTTGGATATTTGTATGTTACTCCGAAGTATACTTTTTAAAAAAAGATGGGATCAATAATTCTTTCCACAAAATCGATCACATCGAGCAATTTTTTGGAGGTTGTGCACTAGTCCAAGGCTGGCCCTCCATTCCGTTGGCATTATCCAATTTTGGTCATTTTCAACCTACCATATGTATCACATCAAGCTTTTTTCTTTTTTGAGAAATGATAGAATTTAAGTAATGTGTAGTTTTGGTAATATTTTTATATTTTACTCTTATTATATACTCCCTAATAGCATATGATAAAATGTGATGAGTAAGTTGAAACTTCGAACACATCTTGGGAAAGGAGAAAAAAAAAGGGAGGTGAGCTAGTTTTGGTATTACTTTTGAAGTTGAATTTGTGATCTTTGTGGCCTTTGGCTTGTACTGCTCTAAACTTCATTGGGTGAGTGAATGAAGATGTGCAGTTTATTATTTTTTAAAAAAAGTTAGAACTTGGAAGTGAATATAGTTTTTGAAGAGTTGTTATTCGTGTCATTACAAATAGAAATTTCAATTGGGAGGAAGACTAATATAAGTAAATGATCATGAGGAGTAACGGTATGTTCTATTCAACTTATTTTTATTACTTATTTATTTCTTATTAGAATCAGATCAGACCAGATCATATCAGAAATCAGTTTAAATATAATTATATTCAGATCACATCTGACCAAATCAAATTTAGATCAGATCAAAAATTATTTCAATCAGATCTGAACTATTTAGATTCGGTGAAGAAATTAAACATGGCCTAAATCTCTTAGAAATAGGTCTATGTTCTCTACCATTTATTTTTTTAACTTATTATTTCTTTTTACTAAAATCTGATCAATTTGATAGATCAATTCAAATTAGATCCAATTGTTTTAAATTATATCGCAACGGTTTTAGATTGCACCACAATTAGATCAAATTATATTTAATCAAATTAAATAAGATCAAATTTATTTTAATCATATTTGATCAATCTGAATTTTTTTAATAAGATTTAGTAAATTGTGACAAAGAGACAATTTATTATAAAGGATCATCAAATTTATACACACTCTTCCAAGGTGGATGGATTTACTCTTGATTTTGTTATTGTTCACTCGGAGTTGGTATATGGTACATCTGGATGTACCTAGAAATAGCTACATCCTGGTAGTACTCATTCTGAAATAAAGTAGTATTCATTCTCGTACAAGTATAAACATTCATTTCGAAATACGTAGTACTCATTCTGGCCAAGGTAGTACTCATTTTAAAATAAAGAAGTGCTCCTTTTTACACATTTGTCTAATATGATTATAATAAATAGCGTAGTGTTCATTCTTAAAAAAAAAACAATACTCATTCTCAAATAAGGAAATGTTCATTCTGAAATAAATTATTGTTCAATTTTTTCACAATTAAAAAGTTCAGTACCATCATCAACTTCTTCCTCTATTCGATTCGTTCCTACTCATTTATACTCTCTGAGCATGGAGAATTTAAAATCCAGGTTTATTCATGTTTGTATTGAATAAGAATATGATAATTCTCATAAGTGCTGGTACTCCTTCTCAAATCTGCTGGTACTCATTGTCATATATAATAGTTCTCATACATGTTCTGGGCACTGGATAAAAAGTTTACAAAATTTACAAAAATACCAAACTGTACCTAAAAGAAGGTACAGCGGGATGTACCATATAGCTTAATTTTCCTAATTTGAACTTAGGTCGATCCAAACGATGAATTATAATTAATCCCATAATTGTTGAGAGAGGAGAGAGAGAGTCAAAATGTAACCGTTGGAACTAAGAAATGCCCAAATTTGAACTCAACAAAATCCAGCAAATTTCAAAAATCACCATAAATAAATCGTTTTTCCTCGTCAACGTAATCCAGCATGCACCTGTAATCCAACCTTAAATTTTCAAGAATCTGATGCCACACTTCCCATCCCTCTTTCCTTATTCCACGCCAAACTTCCCATATTCTGCTTTCATCTCTCTCAGTTCTTCAGCGTTACCATAAAACAATGGAGAAGACGACTGCGGTGGATGCTTCCGAAGACGATGTGGTCACTCTCACTTTGGAAGGTGAAAAGGTTATAGTGAAGGAAATGGCGAACGAGGAGGAATCTCATCCATATGCTTTTCATGTCTCTGGGCCCCGCAACGTTTCTTCTCCCAATTGGAGAGATCTCATCATTTCCAGTTGGTCAGTGTTTGTTTATCTTCCATCTAAGATTAATTTCTCGTACCATGTTTGTTAATTTGTTCATGTTGAGGTTCTGTTCTTGACTTCCTGTGCTGTCATTCTTGGATTTTTGAAATTCCTTCATAAAGACTGGATCTTGATCCAATTTTACCCAGATCTGAAAAAGGCATCTTTGGTTTTACCCAGATCTCACAATAAGTAGTGGCTTTGCAGGAAAGATGCAAATTATAAGAGGACGGTGATAGCCTGCTTCATTCAAGCGGTGTACTTACTGGAGCTGGACAGACAAGAGAAGAGAGGGGAAGAAACAGGGCTTGCCCCGAAATGGTGGAGGCCGTTCAAGTACAGGCTGGTGCAGACCCTGGTGGACGAAAGGGACGGGTCGATATTCGGGGCAGTGCTGGAGTGGGACCGGGCAGCAGCGCTGGCCGACCTGGTGTTCATGAGGCCGAGGGGTGCGCCCACAGCTGTCGTGGCACTGCGTGGGACCCTCTTGAAGGGTCCCACCATTAGAAGAGACGTGGAGGACGACCTCCGCTTCCTCGCCTGGGAAAGCCTCAAGGGGTCGGTGAGGTTCAGGTACGGGATGGAGGTGCTTAGGTCGCTGGCAGGGAAGCACGGGAGCCAAAACGTGTGCATTGCAGGGCACTCGCTTGGAGCGGGGTTTGCTCTTCAGGTTGGGAAGGCGCTGGCCAAAGACGGGGTCTATGTGGAGGCACATCTGTTCAATCCTCCTTCAGTCTCCATCGCCATGAGCTTGAGGAACCTTGGGGAGAAGGCGACATTCGTATGGAAAAGGCTCAAGTCTATGATCCCTTCTTCTTCTTCTTCTTCTTCTTCTTCTTCTTCTTTGGTACCAGAAGAAGAAAGCGGAAAAGAAGGATCATCGAAATCAAGAAAGCAAAAACCCCAATGGGTGCCACACCTGTACATAAACAACAGCGACTACATCTGCTGCTCTTACACGGATCCAGAGGGAGAGGCGGGTGGTAAAGAAGAGAAGAAGGATGATGCAAAGGCGTGGAAGGGCGGGGATGGGAGGCAGGTGGCGGCGAAGCTGTTTTTGTCGACGGTGAAGGGGGGAAAGCAGAGGTTTCTGGAGGCTCATGGGCTGGAACAATGGTGGTCAGACAGCTTGGAGCTGCAAATGGCTTTGAATAACAGCAGGCTGATTAGCCAGCAGCTGAAATCCTTGTATAGCCTCCCACCCTCCTCCTCCTCCTCATCTTCGCATACAACACCCACAGGCCACAGTTAAGTAAGCCTCAGAGGTAGAAGAAAGAATTATTCCAGAAAATGACTCTCTGGGTATTGTTTGGTCTCTCATCAAATTGAAGGGATGATCTTAGCTTGTACTGAATTTGATTAGTTCATACTCTTTCCGAGTATGACTTGTGCAGGGGCTAAACAACTTTAAAACGAGAATAAACTGGCTACACTTGGCATTGAACTTTTCTAATGGTCACTTGGCCGCAATATCCTTGCATTGACCACTTGTTTAGAGCATTTGATTCTGATCATTTGAACATTTGGGGAGCCAATATTTGGGCCCTTAGTTTTTGGCCTCAATATTTGGTAAGTTCTATTCATGTGCAATCTTTTGGGATTGGTCTATTGATGTTTTTAAGGGCTGGCAATGTGCAGTTTGGAATCAACAACTTTATACTCTCTCAAATTTAAATTTTCTGTTTACCATCAAAGGGTCAAATTTTATTTTTTTTTACTCTATTTTCGTTAATCATTTGATAAAATAAAATAGTTATGTCATTTCTAGTTTTGTAGATCTTTTGATGTATTATTTCAATATGTAATTTTTATTGTTTAGTTCTACACTATTTTTTATATAAAATGATTTGAAAATAATTTCGGTCAAATATTATACACCGAAATAAATTGGGACGGAGGGAGTAGAATTTTTAACACTATGTTTGGTTCAAGAAAATTTGAAAGGAAAAAGAAAAGGAAATGAGATAGAAAATAGTTTTTCATACTCCCTCCGTCCAACAATAAAGTTCTCGTTCACTATTCACAGGGTCAAACTTTATTCACTTTGTTGGCCTATTTTGGTATCTTATATGATAAAATAATATAGTCATGTCACCTCTAGTTTTGTAAATCTTTTCATGTAGTTTTTAAATATGTAATTTTTATTTTTTAATTCCATACCATTTTTCATATAAAATGATTTGAAAAAAATTTCAGTCAAACATCGCAACGCGCAATAAGAACTTTATTTGTGGACGGAGGGAATATTTGCTGAGAGAGGAAAAGAAAAAAATGTGGAAGGAAAAGCAAATGAGAAGACAAAATGTACTAAGGGCCTGTTTTTTAGGACTGGAAAAAAAGAGCTGGAAACTGGAAGAAACTGGAAGAAACTGGAAGGAACGGGAAGGAACTGAAAGAAACTGGAAAGAACTGGAAGAAACTGGAAGGAACTGGAAGGAACTGGAAAGAAACTGGAAGAAACTGGAAGGAACTGGAAGGAACTGGAAGGAACGGGAAGGAACTGGAAGAAACTAGAAAAAATTAAAAGAAACTGGAAAAAATTAAAAGAAACTGAAAAAACTAGAATAAATTGTAAAATCTAAAAAAAGTTTTTAAAAAATTTTTATGTGTGGTTTTAAAATTATTCTCATTCTGATTCTTGTTGATATAAATTATTATTATTGCTATAATTATTATTATTATTGTTGTTGTTGTTGGTGGTGGTGGTGGTGGTAGTGGTGGTGTTATTACGTTATCTAAATGATTGTCTTTAGAATATAAAAAAATTACGAATATTATTTTCATACATAAAAAGATAGTTTAAAAAAATAATTAGAATATAAAATTAGTGAATATGAATCATAAAAATAGTGAGATGACAAAATGAAATAATTTATAAACTATATTTATGAACATAAAAGTTGTAATTAAAAAAACTATAATAATAATAATAATATATTTTTTAGAGTGATTTCTCAGGAAGTAGAAACTGGAAACTGGAAGGAACTAGAAGAAACTGGAAGGAACTCGAAAAAACTGGAATGAACTGGAAGGAACTGGAAAGAACTGGAAGGAACTAGAAAAAACTGGAAGTTAAGAGTTCAAGTCCAAAAGAACAGGCCCTAAAAAGAGAGTAAACCAAATCCATTCTATTTTATGAGGAAAATGAAAGAAAATTATTTTTTTTCTTCTCGTTCAAAAATCTTTAAACCAAACATAGTGTAAACATTCATGATGTGTCCAAATCTCACTATATTAGTTATAATTGGAAGAGTAGCTTAAAATTAGCATTTACATGGGTCATTTTGAGGTGCCAAATGTGATCCCGTTCCATATAAAATGTGAGAGAATATACTGGGGTGTCCTTAAATCTATTCCCAAAATGAATATATGTACACCTTACATCTAATTTTATTAAAGTTTCAACCATTAATATAAAAAATTGTTATTGGTGTAAATTTGGCAATATTAGATGAAATGTATGAAACTATGAATACTGTCGCTGGATTTAGCAACACACTGCCGGCTCCGTTCACCTGACATCAAGGGTAAATGTCATGCTTTGGATCTACACTCCTTTTAAAATTACGGTCCAGATTAAATACCTTTTCTTATACCTGTTTCTTCTTCTCCGTTAACGGAGTATGCATCGCTGTCCGTCTCTCTTCTTTCTCTTTGCGCTCCGTATAGTTTTCAATTGTTGCCCTCTGCGCGTCACTCGCTCTTGCTTATCACCAGCATCGACGAGTTATATCGACAACGTGCCAAGGTAAAATATAAGGGTTTAGTTCTAATCTTATCCTGGTTATTTTCGGTTCACTTCATTAGGGTTTCGATTAGCATGCTTCGATTTCGGACATATGAAACCTTCTTTCAAATTCCAGCATACGTTCAAACTTCTGTGAATTTTAGATCCGAACCCCCCTAAAAACATTTGAGATTCGAACTTGTGTGGGTTTATTTGTTACCATCTTGTTAGTGAAATCAATTGGAGTATAAATGTTTTGTTTACTATGTGGTTGAGTCATTTCCTGGACTCAAATTCAAGTAATAGATTTTGCCTCAGAAAGCAAACTAAAGGGTTTGTTCCAATTAGAGGTTTTGTTCATTATGTAGAGTGATTTCTTAGACTAAAATCCAAGCAAAATATTTTACCTAAGAAAACAATATAATGGTTTTGTTCCCTATGTGGTTGAGTAACTTTCTGAATATTCAAGCAACATATTTTGTTCACTACGTGGTTTTTTTCATATTCTTAAATTTTTACTTCCTCTTATTTATCTTGCATTTTGATGTACTCTGTGAAGCTTTTTTAGGTACACTTAAGTGGTGCCAAGAAAATGAGCATTCAGATTACTTCTAAAGCGCAATTACTAACCTCAAGTCCTAATTGTCATTGTGAGCATACTGCCACAATACAAGGTGAATAGAGTGTTAGTGTGAAATCATTTGGAGACAAGGTGAACAGACTACCACAAGACTGCCAGTGAGTCTCAATGACTTCGGATGCACTTGCAAAGAGAAGTAACATCTGTTAACGTCCGTGAACGAGAAGTACAAGCAAAGAACATGCTATTGGAGTCAAGAAAACAAAAAAGACGGGAAACAAGAAGTGTTTTCGCATATTTGTATTGTGTTGTTTGTAGCAATTTTTGGTGTACCAAAATCTTGTTACTTGAAAGTTCTTGGTAATGAACTGGATTCTCCCAACTTTGGTAGATTTTTTTTTTGTTTCTCTGAGTGGGGAAATTTTACCAAAGACACGTTTATGGAAGGAGAAGACCTTTAGCAGTGGGATTTTTGAATTGCTAAACCAAGTGAACCCTTTGATCATCGATCGTGCTACACAACTGGAAAGAATGTCTTTTTATGAACATAATCACTTTCTCTAAATAGTACCACATGTGTGTTTTTTTCCTAATGTAGCACTTTTAGTCATTATCCATTAGTCATTATTCAAGTAAAATTTTCATCATCATTGAACATTATGGACATTATTAAGTGTTATTTAGGAAATAAAACAATTTAAATGATATTTAGGAATATGGCTTAAATTTTAGTTTTGTTTACTGCAAATATATCTTTTTGTAAAATTGATGGTTAAACATAATCACATTTTATTAAGTTTTAGTTTTGTTTACTGCAAATACATGTAATGTTCAAGTAATGGGGAATTTACTTAAATTGCACTAAAACATAATCACTTTCTCTAAATAGTACCACATGTGTGTTTTTTTCCTAATGTAGCACTTTTACACTATGTTTTGTTCAAGTAATTTGAAGAAAAGAAAAGAAACATGTTTCCCTCATTTTCCTCATCAAAATTGGAGGAATTTGGTTTTCCTTCCTTTTAGTAGATTTTGCCTTTACATTTTCTTTTTCTTTCACTTTTCTTTTCTTTTCCTCTCTAACCAAACAAGAAAAATGTTTTCGTTCTCATTTTCTTTTCCTTTCCCTCTCAAAATTCTTGAACCAAACATAGTGTTAGTCATTATCAATTAGTCATTATTCAAGTAAAAATTTTCATCATCATTGAACATTATGGACATTATTAAGTGTTATTTAGGAAATAAAACAAATTAAATGATATTTAGAAATATGGCTTGAGTTTTAGTTTTGTTTACTGCAAATATATCTTTTTGTAAAATTGATGGTTCTCATACTCTAACCGACTTCCAAAACCCTCACTCAACCCCCCTGCGCCGACCCTTGCCGCCTGTCTCACCCACTTCCTTATTCCCTAATTTGGCAGAATATTTTGCAAAATTAGAGATTAAGGAAAGAGGTGGGTGGGGGCGGGTGTAAAAGGAAGCCTAGGATAGGGGGTTAAGAGGTGTGTTAGGAGGGGCATGAATGCTAATTTTGTGAATGGTGTACCATATGCTAGTGTCATGACAAGTGCCATATGTAGTTAGCATAACTTTTCATATATAAAATAATGAGTGAATAAGGTTGCACTCTATTTAACTTATTTTTCTATTATTATTAAATTAAATAAGATTTGATTCAATTCAATCAGATTTGATCAAATTCAATCAGATAAAATTCATTCAGATAAGGTCAATCCACAAAAATATTGAAAAATAATGTTCGTATTTTGTTATGATTAAATAATACGGAGTAATTAATACTACTTCCGTTCCAGTGTATTTGTCTAGTTTGACTTTTTCGAGTCAAACTGGACAAATTTTGAACTCCAATTACTCTCAATTTATATTGCATATTAGCATAATGAAATACAATTTTGAAAGTCCTCATTACAATAAATCTAATAAAGTCTTTTTTATGTTAAAATACATTACGATTTTTATTTAATTGAAGCTCAAACTTTGTCCAATTTGACTTGAAAAAGTCAAACAAGATAAATGCACTAAGGCGGAGAGAGTAAAAGATTAAATCATGTTACAATAGTCAATGTTGCATATAATTAAATAAAAAACAGAAAATTATTCTAGAGTACTTTCGATTTTATGGTAAGAACTCGCTAGTCTCACATTATCTGAAATCTAATTCGGGGTATTCTCGATTTTTGAGAAGAACTAGCTTTTACATTTCATATTATCTAAAATATATATACTTCAGGGTTCTTAAAGTTTGTGGTAATTAATGTACTCCAAGGTAAATTCCATCCAAATAATTACCAAATACTTATTTCAGAATACCTCACGTTTTTTTGCTAAGAACTCGCATGTCCTAAGTGATGCCTAAGAAGGTGTACTGGATTCACCCTAATACAATACACCTTAATGCAGCTAGATAAATACAGGTACTTAACATGTCATGATCTCTAATGCATTACAAATTAAAAAGATATGCAAGTCACCTTAACATGTGCTAGATATTTTGTGAGGCCAGAAGTACAAAAAATACATGGTTAATGAGCTGATCTCTAATGCATTACAAATTATAATAAAAATCTTAACATGTGTTTTACCCATCAAAGTACATGGACATTTTGTGAGGCCATAAGTACCAAAATCACATGGGTAATGACCTGATCTCTAATGCATTAAAATTAAAATAGAAACCTTAACATGTGCTTTACCCATCAAAGTTGAGCTTGACATTATTCAGCAGGGGGATATGTCAATGCTTTGAAGGCAAATCCTTTATATGTAATGCAGTAATTTAAAACACAGTTGGGAATCCAAATGAAGCAGCAGTAGTTATTTGTAACACCTCAATCCGTATAACCCGGAATTACACGAATTAAGGTGAAACGAGGGATAAATAAAAATTTCGCTTGACATTTGAAAATGACAATTTATTATAAATATTAAATTTACAGACTCTGGATCGCGACCCATTTAAAAATATTTTCAGAGTAATGCGGAAGTACAATAATAATCAAATCATGACATATTTTAAAATATGTTGATCAGACATTTGCCTGCTATCCTTGCATCTCCTCTGACTCAATGCCATCCGGGAATGGTTCCATCATTGTCTTCTTGTTACCTACGTGTAGTCAACGAAAAATACAAACTACACGCTCAGCGAAACCGCTGAGTGGTACCACGCTAGAATTGTAGAATGATTCACAGACGTATACATATACATATATATACGTCCACAAATGTATAATAATATTCATGATATGGCACATTATATCATATGGTCAATTTGCTGATTCATGATGATAAATATTCAATAATAATTACATGATGGCACAATTAATCAATTTGCTTGTGAGGATGATTACATGATACTCATATAATCAATATACTTGTTCTTGATGATGATTACATGACATCTATGTAATCGATGTACTTGATGATGATAACATGATGCGTAATTGATGTCACACATAGTCATGATGATTTTACTTGATGATGACTTCATGCTGTATGATTCTAAGTCGCAAGGACGAGCCTTGAGCTATGAGATTCGCCCATTTGGTACGACGAACTCACGCAGAAATAGGGGTGGTACTCGAAAACCTAAGTACCATGTACGTACACTAAGCCCGGTCCGTGATGTCGGACTGCTAAGTCCCGCACAATCACAACTACAAGAGACACACTTCCGCCCGATCTCTTGCGCATGCACATGATGTGATATGTTTCAATATGGATGATGAAATGAATCACATGATATGAACAATTTGTAAACAACATGATTGGATAAATATACTTTATTTTATTTGGATGAAATCTGATAAAAATATCATTTAATTAAACTACGGGGCTCGGAACGGTCAACCGTTTGGCGGAACGGTCGACCTTGATCTTCAACAGTTCGGATTTGGCGGATCACCGTGACGGTCGACCGCGGTTGACCGGCGGTCGGCCGTTGTTGACTGGCTGCGGATGGCGGACTTCGGCTGGACGGCGGCGATCGACCGTCAGCCACCAGCGGTCGACCGTTTTGCTGACAGTCGTGGTCCGTTTTGATGTTTAACGCGACGGTCGACCGTTTGCGTCGACCGTTTGGGTCTGCGAATCTTACTCTTGATATTTTGAGTGTCCAAAAATACTTCTTTAAGTCTTTTAAACACCTTTGATTAATATATACATATTTTTGGGTTGATCTCAAATGTTTATATATACTTATGTACATATATATTAACTTTATGGATTTGGTATATTTTGGTCTTAACACAAAGATGACTAATATATGTATTATATATATATTTTGGGATGATTTCAACATATGGATTAACATATATGTTCATGTATGTATGTGATGAATGATTCGACAAGTCTAACGCAAAGGTACAGACCTGGAAATCATCGGCCGAAACCTTACGGATGAGCGGGAGTGGAAACAACATCGAAATTTGCCAACTTTGTCATTTCCGTCACAATCGGACAACCTTCTGTATTTTGGGCATATCTCCATCGTTTCTTCACGAAATCGCAAACCGTTTGATTCTGTGGATTCCTAAGATGTAAGGCTACATTTTTCGTATAGAAAGTTCTTCGTTTTAACAGACGTAAGATAGCGTAAATCAGACCTGAAGTCAAGGGATAGTTGCTGTCCAGAATTTCGGGTATGTCGATGAACATGATTCCGACGATTAACTCACTAACTTCAACATTCCAACGCCGAACTTTCTTTACAATACCTTCCGGATGTTCCTAATAATTGTTAGAGAGTTTATGGTAAGTATTTGGGATGAAATAATATAAATTTGGCGAAGAAAAACATGCCAACCCGAGGAGCTCGCCACCACTGGCGCAGTCCCGGTATTTTGGCCATATCTTCTTCGTTACTTAACGAAATCGCGAGCCGTTTGTTGGGTTGGATTCGTAACATCCGGGGCTACGATTTTGGTATGATAAACATTTTGAGAAAATGAACGGAAAATTTCAGAATTGACTCACAAGTAGACTGATTGTTTTGTGCTCAGGATTTTGGAAACCTTGATGCTTCTTGTTTCTCCTTCTTCTTTCTCAGCTTATCAATGGAGATGGAGTCTTCTTTTTCCTTTCTTGCAGAGACAGCCGACAGAGAGAGAGAGATGAGGAGAGAGTGATTGAGTTGGTGATGTATAGGTTTGACAAAGTAGGGAAAGGGGTTAATTTAATACACCCCATTTTTTGGAGGCATTAGATTAGTGGAGTTTCTAGGGTGGCTTGATTGAGGAATTTGAAAATATTGAAGATATGGGCTGCGTGATTGAGAGAGTTTGGAGATTTAAAAATATTCTCCTACTCCGTAACTGATAAACTGACTAAAACGGTACGCGCTTTTTCGCCCAAACTGTTCCGAATTGAAAACGGATTGTGTTTATGGAATCAGACTGTCAAAACTAGAATTTTGACGTAGTTAAAATATTTTTCTGAGAATTTTTATTTTTCACAGTGTTCGGGTCTGTCTCAGTCATAAACAATTTTTATAATATAAATGAGATATAAATATATGGATTAAATCCAAATGATTATTATGATGTTATCAAGGGTCAAAATTATGATTTCTAATCTTATGAAATTTCTTTTGAATTGAGTTTCTTTTATGAGTCAAAGTCACAAATTTTAATATATAAAATCACCATAGCTTGAAATCTATAAATCAGATTGGTTCATAAAATGTACCGTTGGATTAGTCTCTTCGAGACATATCCATAAAAATAAGTTTTTAACAAAAAGTCATTATTTTGAAAATCCATTTATCTTTGGTCAAACCTATAAATATTTCTTATTGGACGAAAATTACTTTTGTTTTATAATAAATTTTAGGCCATATTTCGTGGCGTTACATTATTAATTCAAGTTCTCTTGGTTTTTTTGCTGTTTGTCATGCAAAATTTGATAGAAGATTTTGGAGAGTCTAAGGATAATGAGTTGGAACAGAGTGTAGATGTTATCACTGATTCTAATATCAACAAAAGAATGAAAGAGGTGGATCATTGTGATGTCGATGGGGATGAGTTGGGCAAGAAGATAAGGAGTATTAAAATAGAGAAAGACTACGATTAGATTATTAGTTTTATAGTTTCAATTCTAAGATTGTTGGTTTATTTAATTTGGTTTTGTTTTCATTATTGTGTTCAGCAATTTATGTGGTTTATGATTTTGGATAGTTTTAAACAAATAAAGCTCTATTATGAGTAAACATCAAAGTATTGTTTACTTTAAGAAAATTAAAATATTCAGTGTTCTTAGGCCACTGGTAATGGGCATCACGCCCACCGGCGTGAGCGCCGGTTTTAATGTCGGGGGGCGTTAAACACCGCACCCCATCGGCGTAATAAGGCTGTCGTTGCATCGGCGTCAGTAGTTTGACGCAACTTCCTCCCCCCTTAACGGCTCTAAGAGCCATTGAAGACAAAAAAATTTAATTTTTTTTATAAATTTCAACCCCCCTCCCATTCTCTCACACCTTCAATCTTCTTCACACATTCTTCAATTTCAAACTCTCCCCCTCTCTTTTGAACATGAATCCTTCTGGGTCCGCCTTCTTTCCCGACAATCGCGCGCCAAGCGATGCCGCGATGTGGTACTTTCAAGAATTGGGAGATCATCCGCCGATCTTCGAGACGCAACAATCGGGGTACGTCGAGTGAGATTCGGTTCCGGAGACTCAATCGGAACCATCCGGCTCGAAAACAAGTACACGCCGGAAAAGCCACAAAGCAAAATGCACGATGACCGAGGCGGCACGGTGAATCCAAAAGTGGACGCCGGAGGAGGAGTGCTTATTGGCGTCGGCTTGAGTTGACGTCTCCGAGCATCCTATCGTTGGTAAAAATTGTATGTTTTCTAATATGCCTTGAATCTGTATCCTAATACGTCTAGGATACAGATTCAAGGCATTTTCTAACAGTATCGAGGAGAAGTTCTTCACGGTGATGAACAAGGACGGCTCCTACCGTACCCGGGACCAACTCACTTCCAAATGGAGCCACATCAACCGTAAAGTCCGAAAGTTTGTCGGAGTTTACGAGGAATGCGCCCGGTCCCGGAGGAGGGGGACGAATGACGCCAATGTTCTCCGGCTTGCCACAACCCGGTATCAAGATGACGGGCACCAAGGCAAGGTGCCCATCGATCTTTGGAAGATTTTGAGCCGTTCCCCGAAGTGGCAACAACTTAACAATCCCGACGGCGGATCGTCAAAGAAAAGATCCTCTGTCGACGCCGAGGTTGAGGTCGACGAGACTATAGGTTCGTCCGATCAAATGCCTCCCTTCAACGTTGCGGATTCTGATGACGAGGACCCCATTCCACGACCGATCGGAAGAAAGAAGGCAAAATCCATTGCCTCGGGTTCGGGAGGGTCCGGCTCTGTTTCCGTTTCTTCTCGCGACGAAATTGGTCAGGCAATGTTTGAACAACTTCATGTGTTCAATCTTCGGGAAGAAGAGAGGATGAAGCTAAAGGAGAAGGAGATGAAGCGAACGGATGATCTACGAGCAAAGAATAAGAGATCGAGATCAAGGGAGGCATTTGATCAAAGTCATGGAAACCAACCTTTCTACGTTGTCGGGTTTCAAACGGATGATCTACGAGCAAAGAATAAGAGATCGAGAACAAGGCGAAATATAATTTACCTTAATTTTTTTTATTATTGTCGCTTTTTTTAATTTAACAAATGTAATTTTTTTAAATTTTAAATTATTGTCGTTTCAATTTCTTTAAATTTAATCAATGTATTTTTTTTATTATTCGTGTTTCAATATATTTAAATAATAAATTAATTACATTTTATTAATTTAGTTTTGGAAGATCTATATTTAAAAATGTAAAAAATGAAGGTTTGAAGTCCCAGTTTGAAGCCCCGGGGCTTCAAACCCATTTCCAGTGAATCTGTGAGGTAAGTTAAAGCTGGCAGAGAGAGAAATTTTGAAGCCTCGGGGCTTCAAACGTATTTCCAGTGCTCTTAGCAAAGAAACATCATAAGTGTCTTTTTCGGCTGTAAGTGTTTATTTAGGACATTGAAAGAACTCAAATGAATACTCTAAGAATCACTTATTGGGTGAAAGTGGGGGATCCCCAATAGACACTGAAGATAATACTCAATCACAATTTCCTTCATTTTAATTTTTTATCTTCTTCTTTTTAAATATATAAAATTACTTTTAATAACATGAATTGTGTTACGAATATGTAAATGTGTAAGCCTAAAAAAACGGTTTACATTGCAGAATAATTTATGTGAGTCTTATGTTTGTTTTTCAAGATGAAAGATTTTAAAAATTTTCCGCACATACGTAGTTGAAGAGATTCAGCAACTATAAAAAATAACTTCAAAAAGGTAATATACTACACTACCTAAATTACAAAAATAAGTAAATTTGGATTGCTTTTTGGGCAATCTGTGGAATGTTTGAATTCATACTACCTCCGTCCATGAATATTTCTCGAAATTTGACTTTTTCCGGTCAATCATTTTCAACCTTTCACTTATAATTAAAAAAAATATATATTGTATACTAATAAGATAATTAATATTTTGAAAATATTTGATGTAATAAATTTAATAAAACCATGTACGTAACAATAACTACTGTCAAGCCTTCTAATTTGAGATCAAAGTTTACCAATTAATAGAGAAAAAAGTCAAATTTGACTTAAGAAAAATATAAAACGTAGGGAGTATAATAAAAATTTCATAAGAATTCAAATTATTACTCTCTCTGTCCAATATTGGCAAAAAAAGAAAGGTAATAGTATAAATTTTTTTGCAATACCTTGGAAAGTTTTCACTTTCGCATATTGAATCACAATTCTCGCATGTTCCCGTGGCTGTTTTTCAAAGAAACTTTTTAACTGGTGAACATATTCCCCAAATAGTGTGATATCCAATGTCATCCTATATCACAATATTCAAACATAATACATTAAGCACATATTTGTGTAAGATTATTAATATATATTGTATATTAATAAGATAATTAATATTTTGAAAATATTTGATGTAATAAATCTAATAAAACCATTTATGAAAGAATATCGAGTTACAATTTTTTAAATTTGATATCAAAATTTACCAATTATGTCTGAAAAAATACAAATTTTATTTTGGATTGTGTAATGGTACAAAATTGATAGTTGAAGAGTTGCGAAGAAACTTTATCGGTGCAATTGTTGTATCATGAATTGAAACAATGTCGGTGAGAAAGTTTACATACCAAGAATGAATTTGGTACCGTCAGATCCTGGATTGCCGTTTAAGTTTCAAAGAAGACAATTTCCAATATCTTTATTTTTTGGCATGACAATCAATAAGAGTCAAGGCCAAACATTGTCATTTGTTGGATTATTCTTGACCAAATCAGTATTCTCTCACGGTCAACTTTATGTTGCAGTTTCACGAGTGAAAACTAAAAGAGGATTGAAAGTGTTAGTTTTAGATGACAATGGTAACCCTTGCAATTACACCAAAAATGTGGTTTACCCTGAAGTTTTTTAAAAAATTTGAATTTAATATATTTATATGTTCGTTTCCAATTTTATATCGCATTAAATTTAGTTATTATACTATGTTTGTGTTGTATCATTCATTAAACTTCTAACATTGTCTATAATATTTAGCTTCATTTTTTAATTATGTACTTAAAACAAACATTTAACAGAGTTAAAAATAACATGTGTTCGACCTCGTGCGTTACACGGGTTAAATAGTAGTCAATCAATATAAACTGATAACATTCAAGCGCCAATTTAAAAAAGGACTCTTATCATTTATCAAATCCGTATGACCATTAGCAATATTAATTTTTTGCGATGGTCGATGGAATATTAAATGTGAAAAACTCTACTTGCAAAAGATTATTGAGGAATTTACCTAAATAGGACTAAAACATAATGACTTTTCCAATATAGGACCATATATTTTTATTTCCCAATGTAGGTTTTTTGGTCATTATCAAGTAGTCATTATTCAAGTAAATGTCTAGCATTACTGGATATTATTCCTCCACTAGATCATTATTAAGTCCTATTTAAAAAATAAAAAAGTTTAATTCTTACATTAGGAAAATCATTATGTTTTAGTCCTATTTAGTACAAATTTCACAGAGAAATTTACCTAAATAGGGCTAAAACATAATGACTTTTCCAATATAGGACCATATGTTTTTATTTCTCAATGTAGGACTTTTGGTCATTATTCAAGTAAATGTCTAGCATTACTGTACATTATTCCTTTCACTAAGTCATTATTAAATCCCATTTAGAGAATAAAAAAATTTAATATAGTCCTATTATTTATGGAGCATTATCTTAACCCGGCTTTATTCATTGAATTTTAAATAGTAGTAGTACTATATTAGCTTTGATGAAAAAGGAGCAAGTCTCTTTGTTTGCCTATATGTATGGACACTAAATATTCCGATAAGGTGAGCATTAATTATTTTGATTACATACCATAAAAAGAATCAAAACCCCTTACATATTGAAAATTTACAAAGAGAAAATACTTCGTATAGTAACGCCATAGCGCTTCATCATTATCCACATGTCTTCCACCATTATTTTTTCATCTCTGTTTATCCTCATTTTCTTGAGGATCGCCGCTGGTAAGACTCACTTGCCACCACAAAACTTTAATGTTTTGGACTATGGTGCAGTTGCTGACGGCGTTTCAGAAAATAGTCCGGTAACTCTTTTACTTCCACCACTTCTATCTCACTTACTAAGGACTAATTTTCTAAAATATTTTATTCGTATTTGGTATACGGAATTTACAGAATTAAAGTTGAATTAAAATTTAAATTTTATGGAATTAAATTCACTGGAATGAAATTTTTCATTTCCAATAGAGTTTTTGCATTAACAATTCAAAATTAACACCAAAAAACAGAATTGGAATTAAATTTTCAATTAGTATTCTATAGCTTGAATTTCGTGTACTAAACATGACTAAAGAGAGCCTAAAAATATTTTGATTGGTGGGTTTGTTATTTAGGCATTTTTGAGGGCATGGGAAGATGCATGTAGGCACCCGGGGAAGAGCAGGGTAATTGTACCAAAAGGGACGTTCAAGATTTGGTCAACGACATTTGTGGGGCCGTGCCTGGGGCCCATATCATTTGTGATCGAAGGAGTTCTCAGAGCTCCGACGCATCCGTCGGAGTTCCGGTCGGACACGTGGCTAGGGTTCCGGTATGTGGATAGGTTGTCGGTGAAGGGCGGTGGTTACTTGGATGGCCAAGGCCACGCTGCTTGGCCCTTTAATGACTGCTCCACGAATCCCAACTGCTTTCCTCTTCCTGTGGTATGTTTTGTTCCATTTTCTTTTTTTATTCCTAATAATTACTCATTCCAGAATATAATGGAGTATAATAAGGAAGTGAATGCCAAAAGTCTCTTGAATATACTCCGTAAAATAAAAACTTCTCATGTTGGTTAGAACAAAATGCAAAACATTTTTTTGTGTGGAAAATGCTAGAGTCACAAACATATAGTTCACAAATTCTACAAACTTACCTTTTGTGGATTTTAAATTAAAATATCTTTTATTATTTGAGTGCATCCTATTTCTAGGAAAGTGTTAAAAAGACATGTTTGTGAATTTTGTGAACTGTTTTTTTTGAATTCATATGGGCTCGGGAGGACATTATTTGTATAAATGGAGTATTTGTATGATGTGAGAGTTATGGTATGAAAAATTAAGAGGTAAAAGTAGTTTTTTGATAGATAAGAGGGCATCTTTCGGGAATAACAAAAAAATGAAAAGAGAAGATGTTTTAGGAACGGAGGGAGTATATTTCTTAACTTTGAAATTTGGTTCAAATCTTATTATGTGTAAGCTATATTTTTATTTGAATTTTAGTTTTTTTGTAGGTGAATATAAAATATGAACTAGTATCCTAAATACTAAAATACGTAGTATAAACTAATCTTTAATAAGAGATTTTTGCTTTTAATTATTCATTGTTCATTTTTTTAATTTTCTTTAAGTAAATGTATTTTTGATTTTTCAAAAGCAAAGAGGTTTTGTTACATTTTTAAGGGTAAACTATGTACGTTCGTATTCATCCAAATTTGTACCAAATTTGATATATTGAACCATACAGAACCAATATTTTAAATTTGGAATTGAGATCGGTACCACTAAAGTAAAAGCTTATATTAAATCGAAATATTTGATACAATATTGGTATTTGATACCCTATTTACCCCTAATTGAAGAGAAATAGATCCTTTGAGAGAGTTAAGACGATGAAGGAATTAAGTTATGCATCTCAACAATCATACAGAGTAATTTTGGCTCATACCAAAATTATTCGTTTAAAGATAATTTTATTTGACCCTTTTCAAATCCATATCCATTGAGCTAGTCCAACTATTAAAAAAAGAATTAAACTAGGGGTACCCCATGGTTGGTGTACCCCTAGCATTGCCCTTAAAAAAACATTCCGTTGAGTCTAACATGGGATTTCTCTTGAATTTTGGTTCCATGAAGTCACTACGGTTAGACTTTGTGAGGAAAGCAAGGATAAATCACTTGAGATCAATAAACAGCAAGAACACCCACTTCTCCCTCTTCGCCTGCGACAAGATCCAAATCTCTCGGGTGAGGCTGACCGCCCCGGGCGACAGCCCTAACACGGACGGGATCCGCATCGGGGCGTCAACCAATGTCAAGATATCACACGCCACCATCCAAACCGGCGACGACTGCGTCTCCATCATAACCGGTAGCAACAACATCCGCGTCAACGACGTGGCGTGTGGGCCCGGCCACGGCATCAGCATCGGCTCCCTGGGGAAATCCCAGGGAGACTTTGTGTCAGATGTTCAGGTCACAAACTGCACCTTCGTCGGCACTCAGAACGGCGTGAGGATCAAAACATGGGCTGCGGACTCCATGTCCAGCACCGTCTCCAACATATTCTTCGGCTACATTGCAATGCAGAACGTGAACAACCCCATCATCATCGATCAAGTATACTGCCCCGGCCAGCTTCCTGATTGCTACACTCTGGTAATTAAGTCCACTTTAATTGTCACACTATATACTTCGACTTTCATAAATAACATCTTTTTTGTAATTGTGTGACAGGGGAAATCGTTGTCGCGGGTACAGATAAAAGATGTGACATTTTACAACATTTGGGGGAGCTCAGCTTCAAAAGTGGCATTAGCGTTGAAATGCAGCGCATTGGTTCCTTGTCAGGACATTGTATTGAATAAAATTGACTTGAGTTACAACGGGCAAGAAGGCGGACCAGCGATTTCAGAGTGTTCAAATGTGAATGGCAAATCCTATGGGAAACAGTTCCCTAATGGGTGTTTGTAGACAAATAGAGCTGAGAGGCTACATGCCTCATGCGTGGGAGTAGTAATTTTTGATTAATCCAACTGACGTTTAACACACATTATAGCTTAGATAGAACTTATTCTACACATTGTCGAACTCTTCGCTACATTGTTGTTTTATGTTTTCTTGTTTTTTTTGTCAGAGTAATGGACGCAAATTATACTCTTTGCTACATTGTTGTTATGTTTTCTTGTTTTTTTTGTCAGATTTAGGGACGCAAATTATACTCTTCGCTATATTGTTGTTTTATGTTTTAGTTGAGAGTTGTCTTACTACAAAAAAAAAAAAAAGAATGGTGCACTCTTTTTGTAATATGTAGTACGTAGTAGTATTTTTTTTACAATTGTAGTACTCCCTCCGTCCCCCAGTTTTTGTTCATTTTTTACTTTTGAAACTGTTCACCTAAGCACTTTGACTCATCAAATCCTCTCAAAGTGTAAGCCTAAATATAGTCATATGTGATCTTGTTTGATTTGTCTTAACATATAGATTATTAATATATATTTTCTATAATTTTTTAATATATAAATTACAAGATAAAATAGATTAAAGAAGTGTATTGGATAGTGTGTAAAAATGAAAGTGGACAAATACCCTGGACGGAGGTAATAGTATTTTTTTTGCATTGACAATAAAGCTTGATTAATTTGTAATATGTCATTTGATCTTGATTTTTTTATTTCTTAAGTTTTAAATTTAATAGCCTTAATCTTAAATTTAATTGATCATATGCATTTTCAATATTTTATTATATACTCCATACAAATATTATACAACACTCCAATGGCGGTACCTACCGTGCTCCATAATAAGATGTTCTTTTTCCATCCATATTATATATATATATATATATATCTCCTATATTATATAAATGTGAAAGAGGGTTTGGTACCCCTTAATAAGATGTTCTTTTTCCATCCAAAAAATAGGTACATTATGCTTTAAATCATGTACTTTGTTTTTTAATACTCCCTCCGTCCCATTTTATAACGCCTGTTTCGGTTTACGATGTTTGACTGAAGTTATTTTCAAATCATTTTATATGACAAATGGTATAAAATTAAAAAATAAAAATTACATAACAAAATACTACATCAAAATATCTACAAAACTAGTAGTGACAACAATATTTTATTTTATCAATTTGCTAACGAAAATAAAGAAAGAAAGTGAATGAAGTTTAACTCTGTGAATAGTGAACATGCATTATAATTTGGGACGGAGGGAGTACCAACCTTACCCATACACCGTTAGTTTTCTCCATCCACTTTTATTCCCAATAAATGTCATTTAGTGCCATAGTCTTAGACACACACCAATTCTCATAAAAAGAAATTTAGCTCTTTAAAATTTTTCTTTCATTATCTAATTGTGAGATGACTATCCCGAATTAAGCTACTTATAACATCCTTTGTTTGAATTTAATCTTTTCACTTTGACTTTTTTTCATTTTTAAAAATATTTGAAAGAGAATAATTTTTAATAAATTTGTCCAAAATGTCCTTACAAAAATGTTTAAACATGAAAATTAGAAAGATTAATCTGAAAAATTTTCTAGAAAAATCTCTTATCACAAACACTATTTTCATCTCTACTCATTCGAAAAAATTCTTTTTCACTAAATCCAGAAAGGAGCTCAATTGTATATAATTACAAATGATACAATCTTGATATTATAGTGGCATTCGTGATAGATAATAACTAAAAAAAATCAAATATAGATATATAGAATCATGTGTGAGTTATGATTGCAAATGGAAAACGGAATGCCACAAATGTAGTTGCATAAACCAAATAGATAAAGCTAAAAAATAAAAAAATTAACAATTATTAGCGATATAGTACCGTGAAAACAAAACTAAATAGAAAAATAAATATGCTTGACATATGATTGAGAAATGGAAAAAGCAATGCCAAAAATGTAATAGTAACACGCCCATCGACAAAGCTAATTTCGGGCACCACATCTCGTGCAACGCACGTGCCATTGCTAGTGTATATATATATATATATATACTCCGTATATATATATATATATACCACAAATTACCACATTCACTATCCAATACCGGTACATGGTAAAATTTCCATTTTGTTGATTGGTGGAGGCGTTGAAATTTCCATTTTGTTGAAAGTACCGCCAAGCTCCAGCCAATAAAGAAGACTCGGCATGAACCCTCTCATCAAATAGGACATGAAAGAGGTTAATAAATAGGAAAATCTCTTACCAAGGTGAATATTGTCAAATTGACTCTCCAGCCAAGTATATATGTAATATTTTTCGTTATTGTGTTGTGTTTAAATTTTAAATAGTGTGGTTTTAATTAGAGTGCAGCAGTTCATATTAACACAATTCTTTTTTGGGAGATATCCGACAAAAAGAGGAAAACCAATACCGGTACATGGTAAAATTTCCATTTTGTTGATTGGTGGAGGCGTTGAAATTTCCATTTTGTTGAAAGTACCGCCAAGCTCCAGCCAATAAAGAAGACTCAGCATGAACCCTGTCATCAAATAGGACATGAAAGAGGTTAATAAATAGGAAAATCTCTTACCAAGGTGAATATTGTCAAATTGACTCTCCAGCCAAGTATATATGTAATATTTTTCATTACTGTGTTGTGTTTAAATTTTAACATGGTGGAACTCATCTACTAAAAAATAAATTTTTAACTACGTTTCTTGACCTTTTGGCTAAGATCATCAAAAAGGTGAGACTGTTCCACAATTAAATGTTTTAGTCTACAAATACATTATATATATATATATATGTATATATATATATATATGTATATATATATATCTATATATATATATGTATGTATATATATATATATATATATATATATATATATGTATATATATTATTTTTGTTCTTGGGTGATTTATTTGTTTTGTTCAAAGTTTCACATGGCGGATGTGAGCGATGAAGGTAGTGATTATATAGTAGCATCGAGAAGCTCGAGCCTAAATATTCGTCTTAGATTGTATTTCAATTGTTTGGAGCTTCAAATTATATAGATCTAAGAGGTAAAATCATTTCATAATTTAAAATAAAATAATATAATAGATGTAGTACATTTTTTTTAAATATTTTAATTTTACTTAAAGAAAAATGCAAGTGTTAAAATGAACTTAAAATTTGTTTAAAATCAAAGTCATAACCCGTTGGGTCGACCCAAACCGAATGATAATGGTGATGAACATATAGTTCTCTACTTGAACCCGCATTGACCCGAACATGAAGTAGTATGAACCCGAAGTTTGGGTGCAATGAGATATTGAAAGTACTTATCAGAGGTTGAGGTTTCAATGCCTTTGGTCCATTTCGTATCCCCCCTCTTGTGACGAATAACCTGCGATTCATTGGCAATAGCTTTGGAGTAAGTCTGGTGACGAGTAACCTGCTTTAGCAATTTGAAAAGGTTATGTAAGTGTACTTTTAGCGTGTTCAAAATTAACTGTCATGTTAAGGAAGTTAATAGAGGATGAAGCTTCTTTTTACTTTTTTAGGGACGGCCATTAGTTCCATAGACCCATTGAAGAAAGTGATATCTTGGAATCTGTAGGCAATGTTCCCTTCAATCCTTTCCTGATTTTCAGAGCCATTACATCAAATAATACAAATAGGCAATTATTAGATTCGTTACCTGTAATGGGGTAGGACTGAGAAGTAGACACCTGTGAGTAACGGTCACCCTTTTACCCAACTACAGGGACTGAGCAAACCTTTATGGATGTTTGTGCAAAGTTTTTGTAGCCCAAGGATGAATTCTGGCCAGATTTTGAGTCTAAAAATCTGTAGCACATGGTACACCTCTTATTTTTCAGTTTCAAACAGGATTGCAAAGACGTAAAAAACAGGCCATAATTTAACACTGCTAAAAAAATGTATTCTTTATAGTCACAAGCTTTCAAGTTATTATGCAGAATGTTCAAAGGAAGTAATTTGAGCAGAATACACATCTGAATTTGAGCACTCTTGAATACATGGAATTTAAATTACGTGAAGAACAATTTACCAAACTGTTGCAGGTTCAGACCTAGGTCAAAAATGACCCTTTGTTCAGTAAAAGAAAGAAACAACAAAGAGAAGAACAAGCCAAAGAACTCATAAGATAATACCTAGGAGGAATCCCTGAGATGGTGTCTCATGCCATCTCCCAAAATTGAATATAAATAGCCCAACATACACGCTGAAATAATTGTCAGGGGATTATTAAGGGAAGGATCCATAAACTCAAGACGAGCAATCAGAGAAAACGTTTCAATCATACCGGGAAATCTGCACATCTGATACGCAACGCCTAGAATCTAGAAATCTGAGGTTGATAGTATTTAGAACCACAACAATTTGATAGTATTTAGAACCACAACAAAAAACTAGACAGTAAAACGCAATTGCTTTAACTCAAAACACGACCTAGAGTCTGACCTAAAAATTAAAATCCAACGGATTGTAACGCAAATTTGATTGTCAAACACTAAAGTTAAAAGTCAACCTAGAACCTAACCCAAAACCAAACCCAAAATCAGGTCCAATCCCCAAAGTAAGAAACAAAATCCCTACCCAGAACTTAACCCAACAACCAATTGCAGGGGTGCATTAAGCTATTCCCATGTTTAAAAATTGTGAATAAGTACAGAAGGAATGAACATGGCATTAACAGGCTTTAAGAATGAAGACCAACCATTGTGTGTGGCGTTTGACAGGGTAAATATAGCCGCTTTAGTGGAATCTGAATGTCACATGGCCTTAAGCACCTATTTGTAATAGCCGGTTTAGTTCATATTAAGACAATTCTTTTTTGGGAGATATCCAAAAAAAGAGGAAAACCAATACCGGTACATGGTGAAATTTCCATTTTGTTGAAAGTACCGCCAAGTTCCAGCCAACAGAGAAGACTCGGCATGAACCCTGTCATCAAATAGGACATGAAAGAGGTTAATAAATAGGAAAATCTCTTACCAAGGTGAATATTGTCAAATTGACTCTCCAGCCAAGTATATATGTAATATTTTTTGTTATTGTGTTGTGTTTAAGTTTTAAAGTGGTGGAACTCATCTACTAAAAAATAAATTTTCTACTACGTTTCTTGACATTTTGGCTAAGATCATCAAAAAGGTTTAAGGGATCCTAGTGAGACTGTTCCACAATTAAATGTTTTAGTCTACAAAAACATTATCTATATCTATATATATATATATATATATATATATATATATTATTTTTTATTTTTTTAAGGAAAAGAGTTTTTTTATTTAAAGCGGATAAAAGTTGTTACATCACACTTTATGGCTCCCCTTGAATATTTTGGGAGAGATAAAATATTCGGGAAATAACTGAAGGTATTTTCTTGTATTGCGTGCTGTGCCAAGTGATGAGCCGCCGAGTTTGCTTCTCTGTAGATGTGATTGACCCGTCCTCCAGATCAGTTTATCATATCTCTTGTCAATTTTGTGAAAAAGTCATTATTTGTGGGAAGATTAAGTTTGTTTGCACATGCCTTGGAGTCAATGAAAAGGTTGACTGGACAATTGATGAAAATGCGTCTTTTCACTCCTTCGTATGCAGCTTCCATTTCTGTCTCTTCCTCGCTGTTCCTGCATAAAAAACAAATAGAAGGGAGATGGAATCCCATTCTAGTTAGTAAATGGGGGAGGGGGAGGTAGCCAAAGCATAATTTCCAGAGGAATATTGAGTGTTTAGGGCTCTGTTTGGAGTTCCAGGATAGTTTAGTGAATGGGTGGGTGTGGTTTTTCTCTCTCAATGAATTTTTGCCTTCTTCATGCTGAAACCAACAACTCCATTCATCCAAATACCTCTGCCCTGGTTGTCTAAACTGAGGTGATTATTTGCCAAGTTGTCAACCTCAATGAGTCTTTTCCAGTAAATAGAATCAGTGATTTTGGGGGCTATGTTGAGGCCTCTAGGATATCTGGCCCTCATGAACTTAGCCCACAAAGAGTTATTTTGATTGTAGGTCCACCACATCTTGAACCCATAAGCTTGCTGAAGAGTGTTAAGATTGGTAATACCCACACCCCCCTCATCCTGAGGGTAGCAGAGTTTCTCCCAGGAGGACCAATGGTATTTGTCTTGGCCCCATAGGAAGTTATTCATTTTGGAGTGGAGGCAGTTGATGATGCTCTTTGGAAGTTTGCTGCATCCCAGCATATGGAGTGGCAAGGTGTTTAGGACATGCTTGATTAGGGTAAGTCTGCCACTTTGGCTTAGGAGTTTATGGTACCATCCTTTAAGTTTGATGTCAAAGAGGTTTAGGGGGTCATGGCAGTAGCTCTTTCAATTGATTCCTTGATGAATTTGGATTCCCAAGTATTTGAAGGGCAGGCTGCCCTTGTTCATGCCCAGAGAGTGTTGTATTTTCCTTTGGGTAGCTAGGGGGGTCTTTTTAGGAGTGTAAAAAGAACATTTACCACGATTGATTTGCTGTCCTGAGCAGTCTTCATAGTCTGAAAGAAGCTGCTTGATGTTGGAGATATTGTGAGAGTCCCCTTTGGTGAAGAGGATTAGGTCATCAGCAAATGCAAGGTGGGTAATAGGGATGTAGTGTCTGCCAAGGTAGTAGGGGGAGAGAGAGCCATTTTCTGTTTCCATCTTGATGGTCCTGCTGAAGGCCTCTGAAACTAAGATGAAAAGAAGAGGAGAAAGAGGATCTCCTTGTTTCAATCCCCTGTGAGGTATAAACCCTTTAGTGTGGTGTCCATTGATCAAAATGGTGAAGAAGGAACTTTGGAGGAGGTTTTGGACCAGGGTTGTGAAGTGTCTGTTGAAGCCAAACTTGTCCAGGACAGTGAGGAGAAATTTCCAAGATATTCTGTCAAATGCCTTGGACATGTCCAGTTTAATGGCCAAGTTTCCCCCTCTAGTTTTATAGTCCAGGCCATGGAAAAGTTCTTGGNAGAGGAGAAAGAGGATCTCCTTGTTTCAATCCCCTGTGAGGTATAAACCCTTTAGTGTGGTGTCCATTGATCAAAATGGTGAAGAAGGAACTTTGGAGGAGGTTTTGGACCAGGGTTGTGAAGTGTCTGTTGAAGCCAAACTTGTCCAGGACAGTGAGGAGAAATTTCCAAGATATTCTGTCAAATGCCTTGGACATGTCCAGTTTAATGGCCAAGTTTCCCCCTCTAGTTTTATAGTCCAGGCCATGGAAAAGTTCTTGGGCTAGGAGAACTTGGTCATGTATCACCCTTCCTTTGAGAAAACCCCCTTGCTCTTGAGATATCAAATTAGGAAGAATTGCGCTAATTCTTTGGGCTAGAATTTTGGAGAAAAGTTTGCAGCAGAAGTTAGACAGACAGATTGGTCTGAAATCTTCACAAGTTTGAGAGTTTTCTTTCTTAGGAACAAGGATGAGGGTAGATTGGGCACAGTTTCTAGGAATAGAGATTCCTAGAAAGAATTCCTGAACAGCTTTGGTGCAGTCTACTTTAATGAGTTCCCAACAAGTTTTGTAGAATTGAGAGGGCCCAAACAGCTTTTTTGACTTCTGCTTCATCAGGGAGAGGTGAGGTTGGTGTTGTCCAAATCAATGATTAGGTTGGAGTGAATCTGTCATTATGGCTTACCTTATACATGAAAAGTGTTCTATAATGATTGAGGATTTCTTCATGTATTTCTTCTTGGTTGTGAAGCCATTTTCCTTCCTTTGATTTGAGACTGGTGATCTTTTGTTGGCTTCTTCTTTGTTTGACAGTGGCATGGAAAAAAGAGGTATTGGCATCCCCTTCCTTGGTCCATTTGATATTTGCCTTCTGCTTCCAGTAGGAATATTCTTGTTGGGTAGCTTGTATAAGTTTAGCCTTAGTTTCCTGCATAATAGTCCTCAACTCTGGGGTGGGGTGAGTATCAAACTGTGCTTCAATATCTTTCAGTTCCCCTTCCAGTGAGTTTACCCTGTTGAAGATGTTACCAAAAATGCTCTTATTCCAGGTATGAAGGGTTTTCCCAAGCTTCCTGAGTTTGTAACCAAGCCCTCTCATGCCTCCTCCAGTGTAAGGTCCCCAGTTGTTGCAGACAGTGGACAAAAAAGTGTTATGGGAGCTCCATCAATTGATATATCTGAAGGGTTTTGGTCCATTAAAAGGGGAGTTGCTGAGCTTTATTAGGAGAGGGTTATGGTCAGAGGTACTTCTTGGTAAGTGGTTGCAGATGATGTCTTGGTAAGAGTTTAGGATAGTGTTGTTGTGGAATGCTCTGTCTATCCTTCTCCAAATTCTTCCAAGTGACCTTACACCTGTCCAATTGTATGAGGATCCAGTGAAGTTGGGAGAGATTAGGGATGCTTCCATGATGCATTTGTCAAAGTCCTGGATACTCCTAGGGCATGGTGTGCTCTTGCCTTTATGGTGGTCCACTGATGAGATGCAGTTGAAGTCCCCACCAATTACCCAAGGTTTTTGCATGTTAAGGCCTGTAGTAGTGATATGCTCCCAAAGTCTGTTTCTGTCTGTGTCACAGTATTTCCCATAGACAGTAGTAATGATGATAGGATTTTTTTTAGAAGTGTAGTGAATATTGATAGCCTGGTCCATCTCTTGATGATGATGGTAGGTTAGGTTGTCATTATTCCACATTACCCAGGTTCTGTTGTCCATAGTGGACAGGGAGTTGCTGAAACCCAAGGCCAATTGGAAGTGAGTGAGCTTTTTGGCAGAGGTTTTAGGTTCCATTATGGCTAGGAAAGAAATTTTGTGAGTGGAAATCAGGATGGCCAGCCTCTGTAGTTTTGAGGGTAGCCCACAAATATTCCAAAAGAGTAGATTCATTGGGATGAAATTTGGTGTTGACTGTGTGAGGAGATCTTCTCCTGAATTCTCTTTGATTTTCTTTTCACTGTTGTGAATGGTTGGTTGTTGTTTTCATCTTCTGCACTAATGTTTGCTCCTTTGGTTGCAGTGGCTAGCTGGTGCATTTGGGTTGAGGTGCATTTGGGTTGAGGGTTCTGCAGTTGAGTGGGATGGTTCTGTCAAGGGGGTAGATACTGAGGGTACTGCAGTTGAGGAAGGATGCTGTGTAATAGGGTGGTTAATTTAGGAGCTGCTTTTCTGGAGTTCTGGGTCTGAAAGGTAAATGGGAGTGAGGGCCAGGTTTTCTGTTTCTAAGTGTAGGTCATCACAGGAAAAAAGGTGGAGAGGAATGGGTTGCTTTGGTGTTGGTTTAAATGGTTGGTTTTCTTCCCAACTCAGGAGACATTTTGCAAGAATATCATTATGAATAAGTATATCCCAGTCAGCTTCTTCCAAAAAATCTACTGAGTTTGGAGGGGAGGAAGTTCTCTG